CTCGAGCCGCCTCAAATTCACGGCGTTGTTCTTGAAAATATAGCGATCCAACAAGCCATGGATCATATTAGTATAATAAAGCTGATCCATCGGCCCATATAACACCCGCAACCCACTCTGTTCTCTAGCCGTCATTCTATGTCAAAGGCGGCGTCTAGCAACCTCAGAAGTAAGATTGCACCTCCTCGTCGAGTGGCCCACCATGCCACATTTCTTGCAAAACTTGAAAATTCCTTCGTACCTGAAATAAACCCACATGACCTTTTCCTCGGTCACTGGGATAAAGCAACCCGGAACTAGACATTGAGAGAGGTCGATTATCATCCTAGCTTGGAGTTCCGAGAACCTAGGCGCACGATCACTAACTTGATCTAAAGTATCAATATGACCAATTCGCTCAAAAACTCTTCGAGCCCACTGAGAAGTTAAAAACGGAAAAGGTAAGCCATAGACCCTTACCTAAATTTGAGCCATTGCAAACTCAATGTGTTGGGGAACATCGTCTGGTTGATATTGTCTAAAGACGATTATTCTGCCATAAAAAACCTTTGTATGCTCCCTAATTACACCTTGTCGATCCAAGCTATCCCTGCATTCAAAGAGGAAATAGATCCCAATTTTATGGGCCCTAATATCTCCTCTTCTCACCCACCGAGAGTTAACCACGTGCTGAATATATTCCACTAAAGGTTAATTATGTCCCAGAAAACTCCCTATTACACACCAGTGATAATAAATCCTATCATGTGTTTGATTATTATTGGAAGAAAGAACTAAGTCCCCCATTTGAAAAATCGCATCTTGATTATTATTCTCCATATTTAAAGAATAACCCGAAGAAAACAAGAAGAAGATACGAAAAAGAGAGAAGAGAAACTCAGAGAAATTAATGAGAAGAAGGGGATGATTTGAAAGAGAATAAACCTTCGAGCATTTACAGCCAGAATAAGGACTGTTTTGCTCGGAATTTTCAATGCATGTCCGACAATGCAAGTGTATTAATTGCTAAGCATGCACAGAATAAGAATGGATAGACCAGGGCTCTAGGGGGGAGAAATTAAAATACCCTTCACTGATTGGTGCAGATCCTAGAAGCTAAACGTACAAAAGAAAGATTTTTATGTTGGATTGAAGGTAGGATATGGAAAGGCGTTCACCTTTTCTTACAAGTAGAAGTAATCTTCAATGAAAGGGCGACTAAAAGTTTTGGCCAATGGAATTGCATGCATGCAAGAAAACACACAGACCAAGAACACTCACAATTCTAGTGAGAGACGCTCTCAAGTTTTAGAGAGAGAAAATTATATTCTTATGAACGTTTCTTGAGAGAGAAAATTATATTCTTAGGAACGTTTAGCTAGGTCTTCCTTTGTTAGAGTACTCATAATGTAAAAATAATATCTGATGAACGTAGCTTGGTCAAATCAATTATCAAGAATCACTACAAAAAGAATTTCGGGCACTACGTCACTACTACAATGCTTCCTCAGATTGTTATATTTTATTTTATTTTTCTCCTTGTTTCCGCAACTCCGTAAGACTGAAGTCCCAATATTAAAATATCACTCCTAGCTATCAAAGACAATTTTCAAAACTTAAATGCAATTGAATCATGAAATTTTAAGGAAAGCCTTCAATTAAAAAAGTCTTGCAGTACTATGTCGGTCCAACTAACAATATTTGCAAACTATAATGTAAAAAAGCCACGCAAGTGACGCAACCATGCAATATTTATGTAGCCAAGAATCCCACTTTGCTTCTAAAACTAATAAGGTATTATAGGAATTTTATAGTATCACAATTTGCACGATCAACAAAACACAAAACAAATTGATAATTTCGTACCTGAAAATTGTAATTTACCCACAAATATCGTGTAAGTGTCGTAAAGAAACACTCACCAAACCTGGCTCTTGATACCAATTTGGTGCATATTTGGTGGTTTTAATTTGATGAAAGAATTTGAGTGATTTTAATGGTGGAAATTTGAAGCATAGTCGTAGAGGCAAAGACTTCTAAGTTTGATCTTATATTAGGAGCAACGATCCCAAAACCCTAGTTAACAACTAGTTTGAACCTTAACAAAGTTCTTATCAAGCAAAAGCTCGATAAAACTCAACTTTTTATTATAAAACGTCCATTAAAATAATTGACATACAACTAGTATATATAGGAAAAATAAATCTATCCTCCTTGTTCCGCAAGCAAACTAGATAAAATTCCTAATAATTAATTAATGAACCAAGATAGCCCACCAACTAATTAACACAACTTTGGAAGTCCAAGGCCCCATAATTACTAATTATTTAAGCCTAGACTCTAGTGTAGGTAACTTCCCCTACACCCCCATCAAACGACCCGTTTCATGAACCCACCCACTACCCCATTAACTTCCTATTAACCCTTAAACCGCCAGTAACTTCCTACCCCACACATATATATGTATTTAAAAAAAAAATTCAAATCATCATTTACTCTCTCCATTTTCTCTCTCATCCTCTTTCTCCAATTTTTTTCTCATCCTTTCTCTCCATTTTCGCTACAATCTGAACAAAATAGTAAGTAAAAATCGAGTAAAATGTCCGACATTAGAGAAGAAATTGCGCAATCGCAACAAATTTCAACAAGTACTAATCAAAAATATGAAGAGTAAGTATGTTTAGCATGTTATTAGAGTAAAAATAATTAAAAATTGCGCAATCAAAACCCTAATTTTTTGGTAATTTTTTTTTTGGCCATGATGTTTCTGGAAAACAATTGAAAATTCTGGAGTTTAAGAAGCATCAAAGTAAGTAATACTAATATTTTCAAAGTATAAGCATAATTTTATTTAAGTTTGCTCATATTTAAACAAGTTACTGTTTCAATTAGAATTTAAGCATAATTTTGCTCTATTTCTGAGACAATGATAAAAAATTTGAACAAATGTAAGCATAATTTTGATTTTAATGAACAAAACAAATTATATAAAATATACAAAAAACGAAATCTGGAAAACATATAATGTCTACAACTGTGAAGTATAATGAACAATTACAAAACACAATATGTTCAAATTCATATTATGTTATATGTGTGCATATATGTGTATACATATGTTAAAATTTGTAGCGCAAACTTCAAGTTAAATACCCCATATATATGCATGTGTATAGCATGTACTATATGTTTTATATACATTTACCGATATGTTCATTGTTACAAATATATTGTTCATCTCTAAAATCCATTTTTTACATTTATGAAATAAACAAAAAATGACAAGTGGAAAACATATACTTTTGAGATCTGTGTAGTAAAATGAGCATTTACAAAATACTATATGTTCAAAATTCATATTATGTTATATGTAAGCATATATGTGTATACATATGTTCATTGTTATAATTATATTGATCATTTCTAAGTACTATTTTGTACATTTGTCAAATATAGAAACATCATGTCAATTTTTATAATTTACAACATCATTTTACATTGTAGTGATGTACCATTTAAAGTGATACACTTGATGCAATTTGAGAATGGAAATCCTTATCCTATAATTCATGAGAGAAGAGAATTTTCTGAAATAGACAACAAATAGAAATGAAGTTATAAAAAAGTGGAAACCCTATTTATTAGAAGACAACCTACATCCCAAGTAAGTTAATGTACTTACAAATACTAATATATGCAATATCTAATGAACAATCATTTAGTTTAATACATAATCTCATAATTGAAATAATTTTTAAAATTCTAGTGAACTAAAAAGTTGAAAGTGAAATTTATAATGTCAAGATCAAGGCCATAGACAAATCAAACAACGAGGTATAAATACTTCATAAAAATTCAGTAATTTATTTTTATACTGTTACATAATCATTATTTTATTATTGACATTTAAAAAAAAATTCAGTGAACAAGAAAAGGAAAGTTCAAAATTTGATGATATATCAACAAATAAAGGGTATATTACTTTAAATTCAATGTTCTTTTTCAATGTAATTAATGTTCATTTACTTATTAGTTGTTATACATAATCTATTAATTTGCATTCAAAATATTTTCAGAGACAAATCAACTAAAGAGGAAGGAAAAAATGATCAACTACAACTAGGAAAGGATGTATCAGAATCAGTGAATACAAGGTATTTGACTCCCATAATGTTTATTTTCATATTAATTGATAAACATTTTTAATCGTTTGTAATTAATCAATTTTAAAAAAAGAATCAACTGAGAATGCCCTAACAGATGTTAAGGCTACAACAGAGGTTGAGCCTACAACAGAGGATGAGCCTGCAGCAAAGGATGTACCTCCAGCAAAGAATCAACCTGCAATTAAAGAAACACATTCGTACATAATTAGAAAGTATTAACAAACATAATTTATTAAATGTTTCTATTCCACTTTTACATTATTAATGATCATAAATTGTCAACATATATTGACAGGAAAAAGAAAGTGTCAACTCAGGACATACTAAAAAAATTGAACAAAAAGAGGAAAGCAAAACATGATGTGCCTGAGCAAACAAAGTCTACTATTGCTAAAATGCCTGCTGCTGTTAGAAAGGCTCCTGCTGCTAAAAAGGCCCCTGCTACAAGTGCTGATGTTATTAGAAAGGACCCTGCTGCTGAAAAGGCCCCTGCTACAAGTGTTGATGTTGTTGAAAAGTCACCTGTTGTTGCTGAAGCAGAAAAGTCCCCTGCTGCTGCTGAAGTAGCAAAGTCCCCTGAAAGTTCTATTGTTGAAGTAGAACAGGCGCCTGCTGCACCAGAAAAAAATTGCATAAAAAGAAATCCAGATAGGAAATGCACATATTTGTTAAATTAAATGTTCAATTCCATTTATCAATTATACTTATATTAAAAATGTTCATTTACCATTTTGTAAATGATTTAAATGTATAGGTGTTAAAAAAACAACAGTTGTTTAAGAAATTTTGATTTTGGATGAAACTGAGGATGAATTTGAAAGTGAAAGACAAGAACAATTGAAACATGATGAGGAAATGACAAGATTATTGAGAGGCTTAAAACTTGATGAAGAGACAACTCTATCTCAAAAGAGTGAAGAATCATCACAAAATTCAAAGCAACCAAGGAGAAAAATGGTTGCAAGGAAAAATCAAAAGAAAAAAGAAGATGAACAATCACCAGCAACAAGAACAAGAAGTAAATCACAAGGTAAATAAAATGTACATTTTTAAATATAACAATGATCATATTAAATATAATGTTAAATCTATATTAATGTAGAATAATTATATTAATAATTTTTATTTACATATGTTAAGTTGCCTAACATCTCATCTATAACAACAACTGTTTTGGGTGTTTTTGTCCCTCGGGAGAGTTACAACACGAAGACTGGTGCGGGGTGAGCTGTACCTGCAAAACAAACGGAGACACCAGATGGGTGGTGCTCCGCCTCCGACGCACAAGTTAGAAACTTGAAGGTAGAAAAAGGTGCGGAAATTTAGGTAGGGATCTGCTCGAATTCCAAGCTCAGGATGTCTCTATCAAAGAGTAAATGTGTAATAAATGATCCAAAACGTGTCCTCAAAAAGAGGGATATCTCCCTATTTATAGGGTCTTTGGGATTTGTGCCCCTGATTAGGTCACTGAACCCTAATCATTGGTGGGTTGTGCCGCTTTGCGTCTTTCTCGGGATTTGGGCCTGAAGGCCGCCTCTTTTTTCCCTTATTTTCTGGAGTGACACGTGTCAAGCAGAGATTGGTCCACTTTGGGCCATCCTGAGGCTGACATGTGTCGTCCTCTGATTGGACCACGTGGCGGGGTAAAATTACCCTAAACATTTGCCCCTCACAGATGTGACGTGGCACGCCACGTGGCATCTGTGACATGTATCACGCTCTGATTGGCGGTAATTTTACCATTAAAGAGTAACCGTTCACCTTCCGGATAATTACGGAAATGCCCCGTTTTTACCCTCTACATATAGCCGTTTACCCTCATAATTTTGGTACGTTTACAAAAAATTTTCTAGAGAGAACTTTGAGAGAGCAGACGTCACCCGTTTGAGTCAGGCGCAAGCAAGAAAGCTCGTCTTCCAGAGACCCAGTCGGACCCGCCTAGTATCATATATCTCTTCAAAAGGTACCGTTTCTGCCTCTCTCAGCTCTTTTTCTTTTTTCACCGCTTGTACATATTTCTTGCAATAAATGGATGCATCACCAACACACACGGCGCAGCCTAGGTTAGAGTCTAGCCGGTCACCAGGGACGGCTGATTCTAGGACTGGGAGTGTCGTCTCGGGGTGTTGGGACCACCCTTTGCCTCAGATTCCGACCAGTTACGTGTCTGTGCAGGACACAATGGCTCGGATAAAGCAGACGACAACTGATCAAAATTACAAGAGCGAAGGCTCAGGCGGCCAAACGCCTGAGGGAGAAACGTCTAGCCAGGGAGGCCAGACGGCTCTAGAAAGATCCCCTCCGCGCGCCCCTTCAACTCCTGCTGATTCCTTCTTGGAGGAATGCGACCAAGGCGGCGACGAGGCCGCCTCTTCCCCCTTGAATCAAAGTGAGGAGGAGACGGAGAGCGACAGCTCCGCCTCTACCTCTGAGAGCAGTGACGACTTACCCCCGCTTCCGGATAGCGAGGAGGAAGAAAGGAAAAAGTGGAACAAGAAGGATGATCCCTTCAACATCCACGTCTCCTCCAAAGACCGGATCCAAATGGAGGAGAACTTAAAGAATTTTACCCAAATACACTCGCTAGGAGACGGGTATAGAATCCGGGTGCCGCCTGAGAATGGCACCATCGCCTGGGAGAACGATGAACAGAACGCCAACAACTATTTTAGCTGTTATGAGGCGGCGTTCAAGGCTGGTCTCCGCTTTCCCCTTCACCAGGCGGTGAAGGCAATTTTGAGAGGCTACGGCCTCGGAATCTGGCAACTTACCCCCAACTCTTGGACAAACATTCTGGGGTATGTTGCCGCCTGCGAGTTTCAGGGGCTTTACCCCGGCTGGGAGGCTTTTGCTAGTATGCACTATCTTAGCAGAAGCCCAGGCGGCTGGAGGGCGTGGTACACTCTAACCACGCAGCCTCAATATATGACGACCTTGGACAAGGTCTCAAAGTTCGATGGCTGGAAGCACAGGTTCTACCTGATGTCAACCCCAACCAGACGGGAAAATTATAAATTTCGTCTGTACAATAAGAAGCCTGACTTGTTGGGCAGGAAGTGCGCTCTTCCCCGGATCCTTGAGGAAGATTTTAACAAGATAATTGAGGCAGACTTTTTCGGCCTCACAGACGCAACTCTGTCAACCGGGGAAACAATAAAAGTTCCCAAGAACTGGATCCCCAAGAGCGCCTGGTTCAGGGACGAGTGTTTCCTAGCCGCTTGCGGGCTAGGGCACATGTTTACAAAACGTATGCGCCTGAGTTTATATCCGTCTGTAGTATTTTTCTATCGAAATTGATTTATGATATTGACAAATTTCTTTCTTTTTGCAGAAGAAGCATTAATCATGTTGCAGTCAGAGAAAACTCCCAAGCGGTCTTCTGCAACCATCCGCAAAGATCTTGCGGAGAAAGCTGCGGCTGAGGTCAAGGCCAAGGTATCAAACGCCTGACCCTTTCATAAATTGATCCTTTAAAATCATTTTTCCCGGATGCTAACCTTAACTTTGGTTATTTTTGCAGGGAGGAGAGGTTGGAAAGTCGTTTGAGAAACAACTCAAACGGGCTAGGGAGGAGAACCCTGTCGTTCTCAACAAAATAAAAAAATCCACCTCTGCATCAACTCCTGGTGCCTCAGCCGGGCATCAGCAGATGCGGATAGCGGGGCGACTCGAGAAGGTAGGCGGCAGCCTGTGCCTTGATCTTGTCAACCCCTTATCAGCAGCCGCGGGGTTCACCACGCCTGCAAGCGGTTCCCGCTTGGCCGGCTCTGAAGGTAAGAACCCTTTTGAATCCCCGCTTGAGCTGGGGTGGCCTTTACGGGTGAAATCCCACTCTCAACAGACGTCATCTTCAGACGGCCGACAACAAATAGGTGCCGCCTTAGTCTCGCACTCATCACGTATTGATTGTGGTGCAGATCAATCTCCCCGCTGGCCAGACGTCCAGAAGCATGCCAAGGCCATGCTAGAAGCCGTCCGGAAGAGGGATAAGGACAATATCCCTGGGATAGAGACGTTCAATCTTGAACGCATTCTATCCCTTCTAGCTGAGGTAAGAAACTTGTCAATTAAATTTTGTTTTTTCCAAGTGTTTTATCCCGCCTGCAATACTTATACTGCCTGACTTTTTGCAGGCCATGCTGCAGGTAGACGGGCTCAAACGTCCTTATTCCCGCAAACGGGAAGAGGTAAAAAGGGCCAAGAAGTCCGCCATAGACGCTGATAATATTGCTTTACACTCGACTATCGTAAATGAACTTGAAACTAAAGCAATAATTATGACACAAGCATCTAGAATCCAGTAGCTGGAGTCAGATCTGAAGACGACCAATCAGCGGGCGACGGTTGCTGAGACGACTAATAAGGAGGCGGAGGAGGCCTAAAAGAAGGCGGACGAGAGCGCCAAAAAGGCTGGTGAGGCGCCCAAGAAGGCCTAGACGGACCTTGGCACACTTAAAGGTGTTTCCGAAGAGAACACCAAACTGAAGACCAAGGTTCAGAGGCTGGAGAAGGAGGCTGCTCAGGCTCAGATAAACTTTGCAGCAACCCTGGAGGAGGAGCAAAACCGCCTTGTTGCTGAGAGTGACGCTGACAATGACGTCCGGATGAAGATCGCCTTGGTTGCCCTATACCCGGACGTGGATTATGGTGTCTGGGCACTGGCTCACAGGTACGCCGAGGACGTGGTGTACTTGAGAGAACAAGGTGAGCCAGAGCCTGCCTCTTTCGAAGCCTGGGTCTACTCCAACAACGAGCCGCCCGCGCCTGAGCTTCCTGGTCCTGGTGAAGCACAGGAGATACCCTCAGATGATGAGATGGACCAGGAGGCACCGTCTGCAGGCCAGAAGTGACCATTCAGCGGCAGTATGCCAATCTCTGCTTTTTTATTTTTTCTTTTATTCAGCGGCTGTATGCCAAAACTTGCTTTTTCCGGCCTGCGTGCCGAGTATCCTTGTATTTACCGGCTGTGGAGCCGTGTTAATTAATAATTTCTTTCTTCCGGACGGGGTCCGGTTAACGTTTTAATCCACTACAACCGTTTGGTTGGGTGGACTATTAAATGCACCGACTGAGTCGGTTTTGATCATTTTGCATCTGAATTTTTATTTTGTGCAAATTTTAATTTTTCATTTTTGCCTAACTTATCAAAAGCATGCGGCGATTTTTCATTTTTGCCTAACTAATCAATAGTCCGGCTGTCCTTGCCCCTGGACGGCTGTGTGGTGGTTTCAAGTGGAGTTGATTGATTGACTTGAAAACGTCTGATGTTGTAAAGAGCATGATATGTTTGCAAGTCGATCAATCACAATAGTGATTGCCCCAAACCAAGTGCACAGCCGTACACCGACAGGCGTTCCAGTCACTACACAGACGGCGTTTGTCCGTCTAGGTAGAGATTTCATAGCCATTGAACAACTCTTTTTCCTCAATTGGGGTGGGAAGTGCAATTTTAGAATAGATAACTTAAGTGAAACCTTCATCCGGTGACCGGCTAATGCCCCATGGCATCCAGTATTCGGCAACTTAATCATTCTTCGCAGGTCATTTTGGTCAGACGGCTATGAGTTGACCAATTAGGTCGTTCAATCTTTGTCGTCTGCATGGGTACGTAGAACCGACAAATAGTCTGTTCTCTACGACGATTGCACCCAGAGGGGTGTCGCCGGACGCCTTTGTCCATGTTGGGACAGGCGATTTTATAAAATGAGCAACCATCCGGCCATTTTAGCCTCTGGTCTTGTTTGAGACCGGTTGTATAGCCACTAAACGTTTTTGTGCTTAGTTTTTAGTCAAAGTATTGAATTTACACTAAGTATCGAACTCAGTTTTTTAAACAAACGAGTCTGTCTGGTATTACCCAGACGGACAGGCAAATATTTGATCATACTAAGTATCAAACTTAGTTAGATAAATGGAGAATCTGTCTGAGTATTGCCCAGGCGGATAGTTAAGCAGTTGAATAAACAAAGTATCAAACTTAAATAAACAAGAGATCCGAGTATTACCCAGGCGGTCAAACAAATGTAACCTTCACTAGGTATCGAACTTAGTTAGGTAAATAGGGAATCCGCCTGGATATTACCTGGATGGATAATCAATCGATAACTCAATTATGCAAACAAAGTCTGAATCTTCATTAACTGACTCACTGTTTACAAAAAGTTTACATTCTTAGCAGTAGTACTTTTTTAGATTTTCTACATTCCAAGTTCTAGGCAAGCGCCTGCCGTCTGGAGTTTCCAGGCGGTAGGTGTCGTCCCTTACTTCTTCATAGATCCGGTAGGGGCCTTCCCAATTTGGGGTTAGCTTTCCCAGCTCATTGGCCCTACCGGTTGCCTCCATTTTTCGTAACACTAAGTCGTCAACTTTCAAAGGACGCTTGTGTACTTTTTTGTTGTAGGCTCTCGTCATTCTCAGACGGTAAATCTCATGACGCAAGGCGGCATTGCCCCTGCGTTCTGGGAGTGAATCCAATGCCAGGCGCATTGCTTCCCAGTTTGCCTCTTCATCATATAGCATTTTTCTAAGAGTCGGCTCGTAATGTTCGATGGGCAAGACGGCTTCAGCACCGTAAACCATGAGAAATGGGGTTTCACCGGCTGCCCCCTTTGCTGTTGTCTGGATGGCCCATAGGACATGGATTAACTCTTCTACCCATAAGCCACCGGCTCTTTCTATTTTCTTCTTAATGTCGTCTGAGATGAGTTTATTGAAGGCTTCAACTTGTCCGTTTGCTTGGGGCCGGCCAACGGATGCAAAATATCTTGAGATCCCCTGATCTCCTAACCAAGTTTTTAGCTGAGGCGTCTCAAACTGAGGACTATTATCAAACACCATAGACATAGGTAGCCCATACCAGGTGATAATGTTTTTCCAGATGAAGGAAATCACGTCTGAGGTCTTGATGTTTTTTAACCGTCTCAGCTTCTACCCACTTGGTGAAATAATCAACAGCCACCAAGATGTAGCGCTTTCCGCCTGGAGCAGGCGTGTAAGGACCTAGAATGTCCATGCCCCATTTTGCAAACGGGATTGGGCTGTGGATGGCCGTCAGATCAGTAGCCGGACGGTGAATGAGTTTTCCAAATTTTTGGCACTTGTCACATTTCTTCACCAACTCCTTGGCGTCTGCCTCAAGAGTGGGACAAAAATAGTGCCGTCTGGCTCTGACGGCTAGGGACTTGCCGCCTATGTGAGAGGCGCAGAATCCAGAGTGCAAGTCTTCGAGAACTTCTTTCCCCTTTTCTGGGGTGACACACTTCACCAAAGGATTCAGAAACCCCGCCTTGAAAAGTTCTCCATTTTTCAATTAGAATCTTGCAGCTTGCTTTTTCAGGACGGCTGCTTCCTGTGGCAAATCAGTAAGTGTGTCGTATGAGAGATAGGCCCGGATGCCATCCATCCTGGTAGAGGTTTGGTCCAGAATTCCAACAGGATCCTCATAGATGCTTCTCTTTTCAAGAACTTCCCAGAAGACTGACCGACGCGTATCATGGCAGGCGGAAGATGCCAGCTTTGACAATGCATCCGCCTGGTTGTTTTCCGACCTAGGCACCTGATACAGCCGGAATTCCTCAAGTGCCTTGGTGTCTTCTTTGACTGCCTGAAGATATTTAATCATAGCCGGATGAGTAGCCTCGTAGCTTCCCTCATACTGGCTAACAACCAATTGAGAATCAGAGTAGGCATCAATTTTCATGGCCTCTGCCGCCTTACACGTGCGAATGCCGGCTAGCAGGGCTTCATATTCCGCCTCATTGTTAGAGGCCTGAAATTTGAAGCGTAGTGCATACTCAAATCTGTCCCCTTCAGGAGACTCGTGGATTACGCCTGCACCACAGCCGTTCTTTGTAGAGCTCCCGTCTACATACACTTTCCAAACCTGATCAAGATTATCCGGAGCCACCGGACGGGTCATTTCAACAATGAATTCGGAAAACGCCTGACCTTTCACTGCCTTTCTTGGTTCGTAAGTGATTTCAAGACTTTGCATTTCAATAGCCCATTTTAGCATTCTCCCGGATGAGTCCAAGGTAGACATTGGCCGCTTGAGTGGCTGGTCGGTGTAAATCACCACCGGTTGTGCCAAAAAGTAGGGCTTCAATTTTTTGAAAGCCATATACAGAGCAAGGCCAAATTTTTCAACCATGGGATACCGGAGTTCAGCATTTTTAAGAACATGGCTAATGAAGTAAATCGGGAGCTGCGCGCCGTCTCGCTCAGCAACGAGATTGGCACTGAGGGCATGATATGAGACGGCTAAGTACATGTACATCGTCTCCCTAGGTAAAGGACTGGCCAACCTAGGTAGAGAATGTAAATGCTCTTTCAACCTCTGGAATGTCGTCTCAGCATCATCCCCCCATTCAAATCTGGTCTTCTTCCTGATTGCTTGGAAGAAGTAGAGGCACTTGTCGCCTGACCGGCTGAGGAACCTCCCCAAGGCGGCCAGAAAGCCGGTAAGTCTCTGCACTTCCTTGACAGAACGGGGTGACTTCATGTCTATCACCGCCTGTATCTTTTCAGGGTTAGCCTCTATCCCCCTTTGATCAATCAGGAATCCGAGAAACTTCTCAGACTCAACACCAAACACGCATTTCTTAAGATTTAACATGACCTTATGCCGCCTGAGGGTGGTGAATGTTTCTTGGAGATCAGCAAGGTGATCCGTCTGGAGCTTGGATTTGACTATCATATCATTAATGTGCGCCTCCACATTCCTCCCAATCTGATTAATGAAGACCGTATTAATCATTCGTTGGAAAGTGGCAGGCGCATTTTTCAAGCCAAACGACATCACAGTATAACAGAATAACCCTTGATTATTGACGAAGGCCGTCTTCTCTTGATCTTTCTTCCACAGGGGTATCTGATGGAAGCCGGAGTAGGCATCCATGAAGCTCATCAAGGCGTGACCGGCTATAGAATCGACCAGACTGCCGATCTTTGGAAGCGGGTAACTGTCCTTTGGACATGCCTTGTTGAGGTCTGTGTAATCAACACACATGCGCCAGGTCCCATTCGGTTTCTTAACAAGGACCACATTGGCCACTCAGTCGGGAAAATTACAAGGCCGGATGAACCTGGCGTCTAGCAGCTTTTTGACTTCGGCAGCTGCCGCCTGACTTCTTTCCTCACCGTGGTTTCTTTTCTTTTGTCAGATGGGCTTCTTCTTAGGATCCACGGCGAGCTTGTGGATAGCAAGATCCGGGCTGACACTTGGCATCTCTTCCACTTCAAAGGCAAAAATGTATTTGAATTCCTTCAGCAGAAGATGCAAGTCTGCACCCAAAGTAGCATGAGCGACCGTCCCAACCTTTACAGTACATTCCGAACGGCTGTCATCCAGAACGAGATCAATGCTTTCACCAGCCGGTTGGGGATGGAGCTCATCTGACCGTTCACCGGTCAGTGATTGCTATTTTTTCTTCTTCTTCACCTCCACCAGCAGAGGTGCCTTTATTTTCTTTTCGGCTGCTGGTGGGGCAGGTGCTGGATTGGCATCCTTGACATTGTCAAGGTCAATTGGTTCCTGACCGCCTGGGGCCACAGTGTCCCTGACGACTGAGAGATAGCACTCCCGGGCCGTCTTCTGATCCCCATTCAAGGAACCAACAGAGCCGTCATCCCTCTCATATTTGATGAGCATCAGAGACGGGATGATTATTGCCTTGGCTACGTTGAGGGTTGGCCGGCCAAGGATAATGTTGTAGGCGGTCAACTCCTCTACGACCAAGAATCTGACGACAATATGTCGTCCCTGGCCTTTCTCTCCCAGCCGGATGGGCAAGTCAATCCTTCCGGCTGGGTAGACCATCCCACCCCCAAAACCAACCAAGGGGTGGGTGACCGGATGCATGCTGCTGACATTGTATTTCAGCTTTTGCAGGCACCAGAGGCTGATGATGTCAGATGAGCTGCCGGTGTTTATAAGGATCTGTCCAACCAGCTGGTTGGCAACCTTACATTTAATGACAATCGGGTCATCATGCGGACGGCGGACGCTGCCCCTATCCTTCTTAGTAATCAAGACGTCTGGGAAGGGGGTGCTTGCAGACGCCTGCTCATCCTCATCCTTGTCCATCTTTCGAAGATGGCTTTTGGTGCCCCGGACGGTAGGGCCACCACAGGAGAACCCGCCTGCTATTGTGTAGACCGGCTCCTTGTTAGTATCCGAGCTACTAGCAGGCTGGGGGGTAGTCTTGGAGGACTGACCCTTGTTTTTCTTTTTTGCCCCGGCTGGGGACTTAGAAATGTAGGACTTCAACAGCCCTTTGTTAGCCAGACGGTCCAACGCCCGCTGAAGACTGAAGCAGTCGTTGGTGTCATGGCCGACCTCCTTATGAAACTGGCAGAATTTATTTTTGTTCTGTGATTGGACAAAACTCTTCATAGGATTCGGCTTCTCAATGGATAGCCGGTCCTTTACCTCCATGAGGATGGAGTTGTAGTCTTTATTAAACTCGTACTTGGGGACGTACGGTTTAAACTCTTTCTTTTTCTTCTGGGACGGCTGGTCAGAGTCAGTAACCGCCCAACCTTCTTTTCTTTTCTTTCTCTCTTCTTTATTTTTGGCCGGCTGAGCAGACCGGCTGTCTTTTTGCTTGTCGGACTTCTTGGAGTCCGACTGGTTACCAGGCGAGCAGAGGTCGGTAGCCTGGATGTAGCTTTCCACCTCCCTCAAGGCCGCCTGTAAGGTAAAAGCCCCTTTCTGACTAGGTCGAACTTAAAAGTCTACCCGTCTCTCAAACCCTTGAAGAAGTCTGTAAAAGCTACCTCGTTAGACAGTCCTTGGATCTGAATTCTGATCAGATTGAACCGCCTGACATAGGAGCGCAGCCCTTCTCTCTCTCCCTGCTTAACAGTGCTCAAATCAAGGCTTGTTTTCTTAGCAGGGATGTTCATTGAGAAGTTGGAAGCAAACAGGAAGGCGAGCTTCCTAAAACTATTGATGGACCCGGCCGGCAAGTTGCCAAACCATTGTTGGGCGATGCCCTTCAATGTAGCCGGGAAGCACCAACACCAAGTGGCGTCATCCAACCCCTGCAGATACATGAGGTTGGTGTAAGCCATGAGGTGGTCTTCCGGATTGGTGGTACCGTAATAGGTACCAACCAACACATTCTTAACCTTGGACGGCTGAGCCGCTTTGGTTATCTCCCGAGTGAACGCAAAAGGTTGTTCACCCAGGCGTAGCAGACGAAGCTGCCAGTCCAATGGCTGGACATTTGGATATGTCGCCTGACCTCCAAAGAGGGCCGGCTGCATAAAGTGAGGAGGATACTGTCCGTAAGCCTGAGTAGGCACATACGGTACAACTCCAATCATGTGAGGGCCAGAATGGACGGTATTACCGCCTGCCCGACTCTCATGCAAGGAAGATGCATTCCCGGCACAGGAGTTGTTGAAGCTGTCTGGAAAGTTCGACGTTGAAGCCGACTCAGACAGCGACTGGTTTCTCTTCCGGTTAATGATCTCCCGGGCATCAAGGGTTGGTTTTTTACTTCTCACCGGTTGTTGAGTCCGGCGGGAGTTATTGTTATTCCCCTTGGGGAGAAGAATTTTGGACCAATCAATGGTCCCAGTTGCCTTCTCCTTTGGATGGGGAGTTGGCTGCCGATTTTTGACTGACTTCCCTTTTTCAGAGGAGTCTTCTTGGCCGACTGACCTCTACTTGGACCAGCCCGGCTCTGGGTAATCAACTCTTTAATTTAACCCTTGAAACTTGTCATGAATCTCATGAGCTCGTCCCGGGTGACAGGAGCTGATCCAACTGCCGTTTGGGGTTCCCCTTCTGGCTGCCCAGGGGGTCTACTTGCACCTGCCTGGGAAGCCCCCCGCTCCAGAGTCTCTCTGGGCCGGATGCGCTTGATTCTGAGAGAGTCGTCTTCGGTTGTAAAGGTTTCGACCTGAGGATCTTCATCCTCATAGTCTGTAAAGACTTCTGGGTCTTCACCCAGACGGTTAGGGGGTGGTACAGACTCTTGAACCATCTTCGAGGTACTCTCCCCACAGACGGCGCCAAATGTTTTGGGTGTTTTTGTCCCTCGGGAGAGTTACAACACGAAGACTGGTCTGGGATGAGCTGTACCTGCAAAACAAACGGAGACACCAGATGGGTGGTGCTCCGCCTCCAACGCACAAGTTAGAAACTTGAAGGGAGAAAAAGGTGCGGAAATTCAGGATGTCTCTATCAAAGAGTAAATGTGTAATAAATGATCCAAAACGTGTCCTCAAAAAGAGGGATATCTCCCTATTTATAGGGTCTTTGGGATTTGTGCCCCTGATTAGGTCACTGAACCCTAATCATTGGTGGGCTGAGCCGCTTTGCGTCTTTCTCGGGATTTGGGCCTGAAGGCCGCCTCTTTTTTCCCTTATTTTCTGGAGTGACACGTGTCAAGCAGAGATTGGTCCACTTTGGGCCATCTTGAGTCTAACACGTGTCGTCCTCTGATTGGACCACGTGGCGGGTAAAATTACCCTAAACAACAGCTGCTGCAGCAATTGCTGAAAAACAACCACAAGCAGCAACACCCAAAAAACCAGGGCATCCTCGTGCTGTAACTGCAGTTGCTGAGAAACTTGCTAAAAGAACACAAAAAAAAGTAAGGCGTCCAAGTGCTACAGTTGCTGACAAACCTACAAAAACAACAAATACAAAATCAAATGCCCTTGCTGCAAAATCTACTCTTGTTGAAAAGAAAATTGAACACAAAGGAGGCCAAAAAGGTAATGTATATATTTAAAACAATAAATGTTCAAATACAAATTAGCAATTACTTTGTCTTGAAAATGTTCATTTTTCATATTATAATTGATCAAATCTGTAGGTGGTCAGAAGAGGCCAGCTGCATTAGCAAAAGGCCGTGTGAAGAAAAGAAAACTCATTGAACAAGTACCTTGTGATGAACCATCAGAGGAGGAAGAAGAGAAAGATGATACTAATAGTAGAGAAGACAGTGAGGATGCTTAAAAAGAAGGACATGAGGAAAGTGAGGATTTGGATGAGTTAGAGGAAAAGAAAACCAAATTGAAAAAACCAAAGGCTGAAGAAAAAAGATTGGTGGTATATGATAAGGAACCAATAAAAAAGGTTGTGAATAGAAAAGAAAAGAAGAAAACTGAAGTTGCACTAATTGAAAAAGAACAAGAGGATGAAGAAAAAAATGAAGAAGAAGAAAAAACCTCTACAAGAATGGGGCAATTATTGGACATAGGTTTACCTGACAAACAATTCAGCCATAAGGTTTTAAATAGCTTTGAGGTGAGCAATCCGAGTTTTGAGTTGCCTAAAGGTGAGAAAATTGAGATTGAGGTTGAAGATGTTAGGATTGTTTATGGTTTGAAGATGGGAGATATTCCCATTGTTGAAGCCAAATCTGACAGAGCAAGTGAAGAATTTGGTTTATTCATGAAAAAGTGGAGACAAAAATGGCAAGACAAAACACCTTCTATACACCAAATCATTGCTCAATATACAAGTGAAAATTTTAAAAGCAAAGGCCAGCAGAAGAAGATTTTATCACCAACTTTCTGGTAGTTGATGTGAATTCTTTGATGAAGTGGATTTCAAACAACCAATGCCATTTCAAGTTTCTGTTTTCAATGATGGACAAAGAGAAGATAAGAAACTTGAATTGGTGTCAGTATGTTTTTGACTCTCTCATCCACTAGTAGAAATAACGTTATGGGAAGCAGTTCAAACCCCCAAATGGGAAGCGCTTCTAAACCGCATGGGTTTAGGGGGCTTTCCAATTGCCATGCAAATGGCAAGCGGTTCAGATTCGCTTCCCATTTGGGGGGAACGGCAAGCGGTTTGGCGCCAAAACCGCTTCCCATTTGTAATTTTTTTTTTAATTTTAATATATATAATAATTAATAATAATAATATTATTAGTGACCTGTTTTGATATGCACATTAATCCAGTTTTTTAAAAATTATTATTATTATTAATATTATTATTAATTAATATTATTCATTAATAATAATTAATTAAAAATATTACAAATTTTGGAATAATAATAATTCAATAACAATAAAATGCATAATAATAATAACATATATAAAACTCATAAATAATGTATAGTACTAATTACAAATAAGTAATATAATGTACATATGGATTTACTAAAAATAAAAAAGATATGGTAACTAAATATTAATTGTTCATAAAAAATAAAAAAAAACTCAATCTAATTCATTATCTAACTAAAACATATATATTATATATTCTACCTGGATGCCATCAAATGTCACAAAAAAAGCCCACATGTCGCGAATTTCATCAACTTCTTCCTTTGTCAAAAGGCCTTCCCTTTGAATCTTACAAACCTTTGAAAAGAAATAAATACCAAACATTAAACATCATTCATATATTACATAAAATTCAAACTAATAATTAAAAAATAATAATGTATATACGTTAAATATTTCAAACATCATTCTAACTTGCCCGATTTAGCATTCAACTAAATTTTAGGACGGCTTTTACCTTAAACCGCCTATTTCACTACTACTTTGCCCGGTTTCTACATTTCTTATCTAATGAGCTATTTCTTTATCATAACATGTCAATTATAACTATTCTTAGGTGTCTAATGTTTGAAATCATAGCAAGTTAGCATTCTACTAAGTTTTAGGACGGCTTTTACCAAAAATCGCCTATTTGACTTCTAACTTGCCCGATTTCTACATTTATTATCTAATGAGAAATTTATTTATTATAACATGTCAATAATAACTAGTCTTAGGTGTCTAATGTTTGAAATCATAGGAAATTAGCATTCTACTAAGTTTTAGGACGACTTTTACCCGAAATCGCCTATTTTACTACTACTTTGCCCGTTTTCTACATTTCTTATCTAATGAGCTATTTATCTATCATAACATGTCAATTACAACTAGTCTTAGGTGTCTACTGTTTGAAATCATAGCAAATTAGCATTCTTCTAATTTTTAGGACAACTTTTTCCAAAAATCGCCTATTTCACTACTACTTTGCCCGTTTTCTACATTTCTTATCTAATGAGCTATTTATCTATCATAACATGTCAATTACAACTAGTATTAGGTGTCTAATGTTTGAAATCATAGTAAATTAGCATTCTTCTAAGTTTTAGGACGGCTTTTACCAAAAATCGCCTATTTCACTACTACTTTGCCCGTTTTCTACATTTCTTATCTAATGAGCTATTTATCTATCGTAACATGTCAATTACAACTAGTATTAGGTGTCTAATGTTTGAAATCATAGCAAAATAGCATTCTTCTAAGTTTTAGGATGGCTTTTACCAAAAATCGCCTAATTCACTACTACTTTGCCCGGTTTCTACATTTCTTATCTAATGAGCAGTTTCTTTATCATAACATGTCAATTATAACTAGTTTTAGGTGTCTAATGTTTGAAAACATAGGAAATTAGCATTCTACTAAGTTTTAGGACGACTTTTACCCGGAATCGCCTATTTCAATACTACTTTGCCCGTTTTCTACATTTCTTATCTAATGATCTATTTATCTATCATAACATGTCAATTACAACTAGTCTTAGGTGTCTAATGTTTGAAATCATTGCAAATTAGCATTCTACTAAGTTTTAGGACGACTTTTACCCAAAATCGCCTATTTCACTACTACTTTGCTCGGTTTCTACATTTCTTACCTAATGAGCAATTTCTTTATCAAAACATGTCAATTATAACTAGTCTTAGGTGTCTAATGTTTGAAATCATAGGAAATTAACATTGTACCAAGTTTTAGGACGACTTTTACCCGAAATCGCCTATTTCACTACTACTTTGCCCATTTTCTACATTTCTTATCTAATGAGCTATTTATTTATCATAACATGTCAATTATAACTATTTAGGTGTCTAATGTTTTAAATCATAGCAAAAGATCATTTTACTCAGTTTTAGGACAGCATTTACCCAAAATCGCCTATTCCACTTCTACTTGCCCATTTTTTACATTTTTTTTCCGTTTGGAATTTTTTATCACAAACATTGCCCATAATACACTAACAATGCAAGTATGCAAAAATTACACAAAATTGCATGAACGGCTCGGGTTCTTGAACGGATGCTGCCTGGGCTGCTGCTGCAGCTGCCTGTGCAGCGGCCTGGCTGCTGCTGCAGCTGCCAGGTGTCTGCTGCGGCTGCCTGGAAGCTGTTGCAGTTTGGTGGCTGGCTGCTTGCAGCTGCCTAGCATAACCCAAGGTTGTTGCCTCGAGTGCTGTAGTTGCCTCGGGTGCTCACTTTCCCAATTTCTACATTTCTTACCTAATGAGAAATTTCTTTATCATAACATGTCAATTATAACTAGTCTTAGGTGTCTAATGTTTGAAATCATAGGAAATTAGCATTCTACTAAGTTTTAGGACGGCTTTTACCCGAAATCGCCTATTTCACTACTACGTTGCCCGATTTCTACATTTCTTATCTAATGAGCTATTTCTTTATCATAACATGTCAATTATAACTAGTCTTAGGTGTCTAATGTTTGAAATCATAGCAAATTAGCATTCAACTTAGTTTTAGGACGTCTTTTACCCAAAATCGCCTATATCACTACTACTTTGCCCGGTTTCTTCATTTCTTATCTAATGAGCAATTTCTTTATCATAACATGTCAATTATAACTAGTCTTAGGTGTCTAATGTTTGAAATCATAGGAAATTAGCATTCTACTAAGTTTTAGGACGACTTTTACCCAAAATTGCCTATTTCACTACTACTTTGCACGATTTCTACATTTTTTATATAATGAGCTATTTATTTATCATAACATGTCAATTATAACTAATCTTAGGTGTCTAATGTTTGAAATCATAGAAAATTAGCATTCAACTAAGTTTTAGGACGGCTTCTACCCAAAATCGCCAATTTCACTTCTACTTTGCCCGATTTCTACATTTCTTATCTAATCAGCTATTTCTTTATCATAACATGTCAATTATAACTAATCTTAGGTGTCTAATTTTTGAAATCATATCAAATTAGCATTCAACTAAGTTTTAGGACTGCTTTTACCCAAAATCGCCTATTTCACTACTACTTTGCCCGATTTCTACATTTCTTATCTAATGAGCTATTTCTTTATCATAACATGTCAATTACAACTACTCTTAGGTGTCTAATTTTTGGAATCATAGCAAATTAGCATTATACTTAGTTTTAGGACGACTTTTACCCGAAATCAAAATGGAAAAAAGTAAAAACAAGTACCTCTTCAATGTGTTGGGCTTCTGTGCACCTATTGACTATGTCATGCATAAACCTCATCACGTAGAGGGCATAGTCAACGTCGTTGTCTTGTTGAGCACACTAAAATAACAAAAAGTTAAAATTGTAATGCATAGCCAAAACTTAAGGCAATTTTATTAAATAAATCAATATATCAAGGTTTTACCTTCGCATATTTCCACGTGGGACCCGCAACCGAACGACAATTCAATTTCTTCATAACACTTCAAAAAAATAAAAAAATAAACGATTTTGGAACATAGCCACTCAATCACTTAGGTGATGATACAAAACAATATATAGGAAGCGGTATGTACCTATTCAATAGGTTATTCACTAGCAACTTCCTTGGTGGCCATATACGAGCCGAGTCAAAGTAGTAGATTGTGTTATTGGAAACACAAATCACCATAAGGCTCCAATGTAGACTACATGTATATTAAAGCAAATATCAATCTATCAATTGTTATGCGTCAACATCTATACTTAACAAACAAATTAAGAGTGACATATTTAAACTTACTCCTCAAAACAAGGGGCTAATAAGAACTTGTTTCCCGCACGCATTGATTCTCTAATACCCCGCTCAAGGTAATCTATCACATCACGAGGGTTATGCAAGCATTTGGTTACGGAGGTTTGCTCGGGGCATAACCACCCAACTGCTGCTTCACCATCGGGTTTACTAGCAAGGAGCTCCTGTAGTGACCTTCAAGAAAGTAATGTGTG